GTAGATATAATCAGAGCTGAACTATCACCTCATTGGTCTTGGGGTTGATCAAGCAGATTTCCCATTCTTGAATTAAAACACATCCCCTAGTGTTTAACCATTCTTGAATTAAAACACATCCTCTAGTATTTAAAAAAATTCAAAATAATGTCCCTGTTTTAATTATGCTTAACTAGAAGCTGAGATTTACCAACCAATTGTGCTGTGCTAAACTTTAATTCTCGTTTTAACAAGGAACTAAACTAAAATAATCTTCTATTATTTCTAAATAAATAGGATACTGTAACGGGTGATGATAGTCTAAGATACAAATAAAAAGTCTCTACAAGGTACTAAATTTTTGTGAAGAAGTTGGTTCACAATCATAAACTATATAACACACAGATATGATTACTATTAAGACAAATCTAATGCCACATTTCTGGTTAATTACAAACTAAATCTGCTTTTTTTCCTAGTTTTAAGCAAAAATTTCACCCTACACAATTTCAAAACAAAACTAATACTCTTCATTTTTAAAAAATCACATATGTAACTTTAGCATAAGGACTGTCTAGCTTGACATATTGAAGTTTCCTGATCATAAAAGTCTTACTGACTCATAAAGAGCTTTAGAATATCTCTAAACTTCAAATATAAGGCATGACATTCGAAAATGCACTTAGAAACATTTCTTCCTCACAACTGCCCAAAGAGTGATTAGATAGCACCACAAAATAGCTTCCTGTAACTAATATACATGTATAGCATTGTGTATTATGTATTTTATAGTTTAAAATACTTGAAGATAACCCACATGCAAAAGAATGAAAAGCTGGACCTGTCCCTCATACCATATATAAAAGAACTGACTCAAAATAGATGACAGATCTAAATATTAAAACTATAAAACTCTTCAAAGAAAACAAAGGGGTAAATCTTAATGATCTTGAATTTGGCAGTAGTTTTTTTAAATATAACACTGAAAGCAAAAGCAACAAAAGAAAAAAATAGATAAATTGGCCTTCATCAAATTTCAAAACTTTTTTTGCATAAAAAGACACTATCAAGGAAAGTAAAAAGACGCCTTACAGAATGGAAGAAAATATTCGCAAATCATTGCAAATGTATCTGATCAGGGTCTAGTATCTAGACTATATTCTTTGAAAACACTTAAAACTCAACAATAAAAAGATAACTGAATTTATAAATGGGCAAAGGACTTAAGTAGACATCTTTCCAAAGAAGAAATTCAAATAGCCAAGGAGCACAGGAAAAGATGCTCCACATCGCTAATCATTAGGGAAATGCAAATCAAAACCACAATGAGATACCACTTCACACACATTAGAATGGGCTATAAAACACACACACACATAAAATTCAGAAGAAATAAATGTTAGTGAGGATGTAGAGAAATTGGAATCCTTAAACCCTGCCGGTGGGAATGTAAAATGGAACCCTTATACATTGTTGGTAGGAATGTGGAAAACAGTTTGGTGGCTCCTCGACAAGTTCAACATACAATTATCATATGACCTGGTAATTCCACTCCCAGGTACATACCCAGAAGAATTGAAAACCAGTATTTAAACATAAACTTGTACACAAATATTCATACCAGCATTATTCACAAAAGCCAAAAAGGTAGAAAGATCCCAAATGTCCATGAACTAATAAACAAAATATAGAATATCCATAAAATAGAATATTATTTAGCCATAAAAAGGAATAGAGTACAGATATATGCCACAATGTGAGTGAACCTCAAAACACATAATGTGAAAAAAGCAAAACACAAAGGCCATGCATTGTATAATTCCATTTATATGAAATATCCAGAATAGGCAAATCCATTGACAGCAGGTTAGTGGTTGCGTGGGGCTGGAGGGAAAGAGGAATAGGCAATGACTGCTTAATGGGCACAGGATGTCCTTTCAGGGTGATGAAAATGTTTTAGAACTAGATGTGCAACACCATGAAGGTACTAAATGCCACTGAACTGTACATTCTAAAATGGTAAATTTTATGTGAATTCTATCACAGTAAAAGAATTACCAGGCTAAAACACAAAAAACAATGTTACTTCATTTCTATTTTTCAAAGTTCATGAAAAAAATATATCCCTGGAAGAAAGGGATATTAAAAGGCTTACTTCTGCAGTAAATTAATCACAACATTTCCCAAACTAAATTATCTCACGACAACCTCTACCAAAACAATTAAAAATGGCATCAAATTGTACTTTTGAAGCTTTTGGAATTTCTGAATGAATGTCTTTACAGATGTCCTTCACAGTTATCATATATCTCCTAGCAGAGCCATAAATTTTGCTATCTTAAACAAAAATGGAAAGACCCACCCCTCTGAAAGTATTCTGGCTTTTAGCCAAAAGACATAATCAAGTATATCTACAAATAAGAGCTGGTCTACTTATACTAAGAGGGAAGACTCAGAAAGGAAGGCGTTTTTTCTTACACACAATCCCCACCCCCCAAACATAGATACAAAAATTTAGGCCCTCCATTAATTAAAGTAAATTATCTGACTAGAAATCTGCTAGTAATACAGCAGTTCTCATTTTCTTCTGACTACTCCAGTTCTTTGCAACCATTGGTTTTATCATTTGCTGGCTATGAGATGGAAACTTTAATGAAAAATTCATCCACTTTACAGAAGAAAGTTGAAGTCCACAATACAGAAATTTAACTCCTAAAACACTGTAGAATAATTACATTAACAAATGTAGACCTGTGATATGAGGATCAATATTGGTCTGTAAGTCAGAGCTCCAGTGTCCTACCACGTACTTACTAGGGCAAGTCTTATTTTTCTGAACTTTCTTTCTCAGGTTAAAAAGGAAAATAACTTTCCTGCCTGCCTCCCTTTCCTTCTACTGTACTGTAGAAGTACAGTAATAAAAATATGTGCACGGTGTGATGGAACGACTAAAGAGGGGCAACCTAACCTAACTTGGCAGGAAATACTGCGAAAGGAAAAAAGGGGGCACAGGAAAGGCTTTCAGGAACAGTTAATGACAGAGTTTAGTCTAAAAAGAATGAGTTCAAATTCAAAGGGAAGGGAGAGCGAGAGAGAGTTCAGGTTGAGGGCCTGTGATTATTAGAAGCAAGGGCACAGAAGATGACCACCACAAATCTGCTTATGTTATTCCCCTTCTTAAACAGTAAAGGGCTCCTAATTCTGTAGAGTAGTTCATCACCCCAGCCTCAGAGATTCCAACCTTATCTCATTTCACTCCTCAAGTTTGCCAGGCTTACACTTTCCATTCTCAATACTTTAAAGTTCTTCTACTCCAGGAACATCTAGTTCAAAACTGGGAGACCACCTTGCCTGTCAGAGTTGGTGTAACATTTTCAGGCTCTCAGTTTTGCATTTATACTTCCACTATACCATTTAATACACTAAGTATTCCTCTTAATCTAAGAGAATATGAACATAGCATCAACTTTTGTGTTTAAACCCTGGGTAGCCAAAACAAGGGTTACACTGTTTACAATATCAAAGCAGAATAAAAGAAAAAGGGCATGGGAATGTTCTCAAATTTGCAACATTTCCAAGTTAAATGAATATGTCAGTAAAGTTTGTAAAAGGTAACCATGACAAGTTAAAAATCCATAACTATTAAACTTGACCCAGAAGGAATGACACCATCACAAGACATCCGTACCAGAAGTAATGTATTCAGAGAACAAAATGTCCAAGTAATCTGCTGTTATTTAAAGTCACACCAAAAAAAAAAAAAAATTTCAGACAAGGTAAATTCAAAACGACAGGAAAAATATCGTTTAATTATTTTAGCATTCAGCTTTAGTGCATTTTAGCTATCCTGTAATGCAACGTATCTTTCCTTTGGACTGTTGAATTTAAACTATTTTCAAACTCATCAATCCAAAAATTAGAATCTGTCTAAAAGACACCTGCTGCTCTGTGTCATATACTGAGACCTCTTCAAAAGTCCTCCTGGTATTACAACTTACTTATCTCGTGAATAATAGGCTAACAATGTCTCCAGGTTAAAACTGGATACAATCACTATTCCCAACTTTATTAAAGGCTATTTATTTATATAACTGCTTCAGTCAATAGTAACTCTTAAGAAGGAATAGCCGCACCACTCACACATCTGTTTTGAGGGTTCGATTTCACTTTAACAAGGTCTATCAACCCCTACGATATGGAAATACACACGTGCAGGATTTCTACCCACACCTCACTACGTAAATGTTTCACCACTCTTTAGTTAGGCAAACAAAACCTCTTTCAGTACAGAGAAGCCACCTCAGCACTTCTATCCTAACCCCATCATACCTTCTCATCCTCAACCTGTCAGTCACAGAACACACCAAATAACACCTCCCAATCTCCCTGAACCTAATCCATTTACACAAATAGCCAGCAATATCCCTCACCCCGATCCAGTGCTATTGACCTTCACACATCAATGATTATCTACAAATTCAATCAACTTTCCCCCACCCCATTACCCACGGAAACTCAACATCCCACATTCGAAGCGATCTTCCCTTTCAGTAGCCTCAATCTCAGTTAAATGATCACTCTAGGTCCATTGTAGACCGTCTCTCGGGCCCCCTCATTTATCCTCCTCACCTTTTCCATCCTCTCGTTTTCCATCAACTCCCAAAGTTGCCACCCCCTCAGCAAAAACAAAAAAGAAGACAAAAAATGCAGCTCAACATCAAACCTGCCCTTCTCCAATTTTCCCCTCTGAATTTTCCTCTCCGCCTGTTCGCTCACACCGACAGCAGCTAGACAATCCCTTAGACCCGAGCCCGGCCTCGTCCCATACCTCTTGGTGACTGACAGCAACCACCCTGTCTCGGTCAAGACGCCCCCCATCAGGGCGCTTACTCCGAACAGACTCTTGGCCGCGGCTGCCTGCCTCCATTCATCCCCGGCCCATTCATCTCCCAGCGCGATCCCAGACACGCCCCCCGGCCTCCTCCCTCTCTCCCAGAGCCCGGCGGGCCTGGGACTCTCACCAGATTAGAGGGTCTCGGAGAATCTCTTTTCGCTTCTTCCTCGCCCTCTTAAGCCTCCGATCACCCCTCAAGGAGCCACACAGGCGAACACACACGTATACACACACCGCCTCCTCCTCCTCTAAAGCCTCCTCCGATGCTTCTTACACCCCCCCAGGATGTCTCGGGCTCCGCTCCGCGTCGTACGCGCGTGCGCGCGCGACCGACTCCCTGCAAGCCCACCGGACCAGAGACTGCCGGTAGGTAAAGAAAGAGCAGGCGGGGTTTGGGGAGCTGGGTACTAACCCACGCTCTCGCTGGCCCGGGAGCGGAGCAGGCGCACGCGTACTCCAGCCTGGGACTTCAGATGGGTAGGAGAAGGGGGCGGAAGAGGGACGGGGAAGGGACGGGGGTTGGGAAGGGGAGAGGGG